TGTGGTACAAATAGCCTTGTTCGAGATCCGATTAAATGTGGAGACATGAAATAAATTAGGATATACCCTCCCTTTGATGTGTTTAAGAGTCAAACGTTGCTCTCCCATTAATCTTTGCCGAGTTTGACATAGTCATATACACAATATCCAAAAATGATAGATCCTCCTTTCAAAGATGAGAGCTCTATTGGATTTCTACACAAGATCAGGCGAAGAAAGCCAATCTTATCAAGGGCAAAAATTTATTGGGGGTAAGAAGAAATTGACACAACTCAAGAATTGCAAGAATGCACACTGGTGCAAACAAAAGTGGAGATAACTTAACCAGAAAGAGGATGAAGATCTCTTTTGCAGCCGTCCCCACCACAGATTAAGAAAACATGCATTTATAAATGATGCATGAATTTGTGTCATTGCACCATACATCATTTCATAAATACATGATAAATTTTGATATCCCTCATGAGGATATCTGTTAAAATTTGTTTTGAGAAATTTTTGTCTATCTTAAGTTGGTTTCCCTAGAAACTTCAATCGTGGCTTTCTTAGAACATGTCTCCTAAGAAACTTAATCTTGTCTTACTAAAAATCATTTTTCCTTGAAACTTCAACTTGACTTCCCCGTGAAGAGGGGTAAGTCTTTGTTATTCTTTACTTCCTCGTGAAGAGAAGTCAATCTTTGTTATTCTTGACTCCCTCGTGAAGAGGAGTCAATCTTTTTTTATTTCTTGACTTCCTCGTGAAGAGAAGTCAATCTTTGTTATTCTTGACTTCCTCGTGAAGAGAAGTCAATCTTTGTTATTCTTGACTTCCTCGTGAAGAGAAATCAATCTTTGTTATTATTGACTTCCTCGTGAAGAGAAGTCAATCCTTATTATTAGTGAATCTTTCTTATTCTTGAATTCTTCATGAAGAGAAGTCAATCTTTGTTATTATTGACTTCCTCGTGAAGAGAAGTCAATCTTTGTTATTCTTGACTTCCTCTTGAAGAGAAGTCAATCTTTGTTATTCTTGACTTCCTCATAAAGAGAAGTCAATCTCTCGGTATTGTTATTCTCGACTTTATCGTGCAGAGGAGTCAATATTTCAGTGTTGTCTTCCTTGACTTTCTCGTGAAGATGAGTCAATCTTTTAGTATTGTCCTTCTTGAATTTCTCGTGAAGAGGAGTCAATATTTCAGATTTGGTCTGCCAAAATAGAAGTGAAACAAATCAAGTTCGATTCAATCTTCCCTTAAGAACAACGAAGTGGATCAAGTTTTTCTCGAGTCTGATCTCCCCTAAAAGAGTAGCGGAGCAGATTCTTTCTGATTTGGTCTTCCTCAAGAGCAGTGAAGCAAATCAAGTTAGATTCAATCTTCCCTGAAGATCAGTGAAGTGAATAAAAAAATTTCAGATCTGACTACCCGAAAAAGATGAACAGATCAAGTCTGATCTACCCTGAAATTACAGTGGAGCGAATTTCCCATTAAAGGATAAGTCGTCTCTGTATGAAAACTGGTGTCTTTATCTTTGTCCTATTTTTGTTGTACAATAAAGGACAAAGAGGGGCAGCTGTAGACATGTGTTTTCATCCTAGAGTTTCCTTTTGTTTAGTTTATTTTTGTTTTGTTTTATTTTGATTATATATATATAATTTTGAAATATATATATATAGTATAGTTTTGAAATATATATATATATATAATATAGTTTTAGAAAAAATATAGTTTGAAAATAAATATATAGTATTAAAAATATATAGATATATAATATAATTTATGGTTTTGAAAGTTAATATATAAATAATTTATGATTATGAAATATGAATAAATATATGCTTGCTTATTATTGTTATTATTATTATTATTATTATTATTATATTCCAAGTCCAATTTAGGTAGTTCAAGCCCAAATTCAGAGGTCCGGTCAACGAGTGAAGTGCAGCAGGTCCAATTAATCAAAATCTGGGTCAGATCCAATGTTGCAACCCAAAGTAGGGAAACCCGTTAGGGTTTCTGTTGAAAATATCAGGTGCCACCCCGTATAGAACTGTTGGATCTGTGGCCAATCCAATGGCCCAGATGAGATCATATTTAGGGTTTCTTAAACCCTCAACAGCTCACCGCCATCGCTAGTCCATCTAGACCGTCCACCTGCCGCGCGTGTGTTGCAGGCACCCAAATCTTCAGATTTCAGCCACCCCCGCTGTCATTTTCGGATATCACTGGCCAAATCTGAAAGATCTGGGGAATTAAATGATATTTAATACACACATCTACCTAAAACCGACGCCACCCCTAATTGGCCACCGCCATAGCGTCGGTGACTCTAAGGGCTCCTCTCTCCGACCGGTCTGAACGAAGCATTGGGGGTCCTATAAAAGGAACCCATACCTTCAACATAGAGAAAAAAAACAACCACAACAAAAACCACAATAACACATAACCAGGAGAAAAGAAAAAAAAAATGAGAGCTCATTTTTTAAAAGAAGAAAAAAAGAGAAAAAAATAGGGAAAAGGAAACTTACCGAATCTACTACTCGTCGTAGGAGAGAGAAGAAAAGTTTTTTAAAAAATCGAAAGTAACACTTTGTTTCTTTTAGATATAGGACAACAGGGTTAGTTTTAAGGGGAGTGGTGTTCAGATTCGGGTAAAGGAAAGTTCGAGGGTCATTTTGGGGAGTTTTTATGTCGCTGGCCACCGTATACGGCGACGATGGTCGGAGGTTGTCGGCCTCTCCTCGACGAGAGAGCAAAGAGATAAGGCAGAGAATTTTTTGTTTCATCTTCTTAGAGAGAGAGTGAAAAGAGAGAAATGAGGGGTTTAAGGCCATTAAAGGTCGGTTATTGGGTATTTATACCCTCCCCATATGGCGTCGTTTAGGGGGAGGGATTCTGAGTTTTGGGCGCATGGGTAAATTCATCCCACGTCCCTTGTTTGTTGTAACCTTTCAATTTAGTCATTGTAATGACTTTTCGTTTATTTTAATTTGTATCTCAAGTTTTATTTGTTTCCATTTTAATCATTGTCTTTAGTCATACGTATTTTGGGTAAATATTTAATTCAGTCATTAGATCTTATTGAATTCCATCTTAATCATGAAATTTGGTAGTGGTTAAATTACTTTTCCAGTACCGTGTTATTCTCGTTTATGGCTATGACTTTCGATTGTTTTACAGTTTAATCCTTAAAGTTAATATTTTTAATTTTGAATAATGTTATTGGTTTATTTATGATTGAATTACCTAATGTATAAAATATTTATATTGGTTGCCTTGATATCTTTTTAGTTTTATAATTTAATCCTTAAAGTTATTATATTAATTGTTTTAATCCTTTATTTACATGTTTGTCAATTTTTGCTAATCGAAATACTTTTATATATTATTTTATACGAGGAATTTAAAGAAATGCCTCTTAACTGACAAGGAGTATGTTTCTAAGAATTGATCGAATAAAATAATACCTTTTATGTTTTAAATGAATTTGTTTTTATCTATTTTATGCATTTGTTTTATTTAAAATTTAGGGTAATATAATTTTGTACAAGGAATCCATAAAAATACCCCTTTAACTGACTAGGAGAGTATTCTCAAGAATTGTTCGTACCAAGTAATCTCTTTTAATTTTTCTAAAAAAAATCACAATTTAAATGTATATTCAAGTTTGTCAATTTCAACTTTTGAATGATGTATAATCGCTTAGATACCGATTTCGGACGTTGTGGGGTGCTAATCCTTCCCCACACATAATCGACTCTCGAACACTTTTTCAAAATGAAATTCTGGTTAAACACAAATCATTTTTTATCTTTTAAAATTATTTTTCTTAAAATTATTTTAAAATGTATTTTTAGCTATTCGACCTACCTAACCTAAAGGTCGATGGCGACCCCGAAAATATTTATTTATTTTATTTTGACACCCAACCTTTTTTCCAAGATTAAGTTGGATTACTACCCGCCATAACCCTAAAAAGCATAAAGATCGTTCCAACATATATTTTAAAGACTGCCATTTGACGATGGACACTCAAAATACTCTATAGCCTGTGATGCTATCTAGGACATCTAAAAATAATAATCACTCTTTAAATCACTAACATGATTTGATTCATGTCAAATTACAATATTTTTAAATCAACAAAATTATTCGAAATACTATCATATAACCAATGAATGTTACTATTTTGATTTTATTTTTAAAATTTACAAATCTTCATTAATGAATATCTTTTTCTAATTTTACTATCATGTAACAATTTTTTTAACGAATATCTAAAGTATCTATTTGAAATTATCCGTCGCATATGCAAAGAAAGAGAAGGGGTTACAGTTGAATTTGGAAATAAATATAGACAATCGTTTTATAGTGTTGAAATTGCTTGCCAACTTTCAATAAAATAAATGCTAAATTATCAAAATGATAAGTAAACTATAAGGTCAGTTCTATTCTAGTCACTAAATAAAAAAATTATCAATTAAGTCATTGAAGTGTAATTTTGGTGTCAACCAAATCATCCATCGTTAAGTTTTCATTAGTCACCGATGGAATTAATGACATAACTCATTTTTACTTGAGATAATAACATATGTAATCCTCATTATCTATATATTCCATCAATTTAGTTCTGATTTTAATTACAAAAGATTCATAAAATAAGATGATACACATGTCATTGTCTTATTGATGAAAATTAAGGAAAATATAAATCGAGTGTAAGATGGATCGAACTTGGATAGGGAGGTCAACATTTACCAAATCATGCTATGCAGTGGCGGGGCCAAAAAATTTAATTATGATATCATAATTTAAAGAAGTATCAATACTCTTAAAGTGGTGTCAATTTTTTTATTTTTTATATAAAATTATATGTCGTTAAACCATATTTAAATTTAACTATAACTGCCTCTAAAAAAAGTTTAACTATAACTGATACAAAATAGTTTTAAGAAAAAATGGACCCATTGAAAGTGATACAACCAGAGACCTAAAATTTAGATAATGAGTGCATATAATATCGAAAACAAAATAACTATTAGATGTGATGCCACACAATCCATATATGATCATGCATCTGTTTCTGAATGAACTAAAAAAATATATAGGTGATCGAATACTGTTCATAACTGGAATTTAACCTGGATATTTGGATGTTTCTGCTTGGGTGGATGAGCACTCTGAATCAAGTTGGTGTACTGGTATTCCACAGGAATCCTATATGTATGAAAGAAAACAAAAGCACCAGCATTAGGTATTCTGGAAATTTTCAACTTTTCGTGATTCCAAGAGAACTGGATCATTTACATTTAAATATAAAATAACTTCAATCCGATTACAACACAAGGAAATACACAAACATAACCTAAACCCGATTACAACACAAGAAAATACACAAACATGACATGAATTCATGAATTGCCCAGTCTGAACACAAGTTTGTTCAATTTCTTTTGTCTTTTTTATATTTTTGAAAGGTCATGTTTCATCTTTGTACTAGTTCAAAATGCTTCAGACTTGAATACTTTAGAACAATTTAAGTTACTTTTTCTTAATTAAAAAGGTCATGTATGTTCCTGCAATCACTATTAAGAAGTGCCATCCAACGATTTAAAAAAAATTCTTAATTAAAAAAATACTTTGGCCCAAAGAAAATTGTACATACCATTCGTTCGTTCACAGAGATGATCATTACATTAGTAGGTGGTTGAGGTTCAGAACAAGCTGAGAGTGGAGAACAGACAGACTGAACATATCATAGCAAAATGAATCATATTTTCTGAGTGTTCAGTTTTGGTAATGATGAAAATAAATAACTTACCTCTGAAACACATGAACTGAAATTATTGTTTGCTTGCAAGTGATTGCTGGCTGAAGTATACCCAAGCGATAGCTGCTGTGAAGCTGAATTAAAGATCCCAGGAAAAAAAACGGTTGCTTCAACAAATAATGAAATCATGCTTGTTCTCCATAGACAAGAGAAGAAAAAAAGTACATGCATGAATGCCTTTTTGCCCTTAAAAGGTTTATGGACTCAAGTTAACTTTTAAAAAGTTATTTCATATCCTTGGAGAATCTTGAAGAGTAATATTCTCGTTTTTTTCATCGTTTTGGAAGATTATATCCCCCATATTCATGTCTGAATATGCCTCAAACATGAGTAATTCAGAACAATGAAGTTGGATTAACATACATTAAAATGGTGAATAGATAATGCAATACAAGAATCATCTCCCGGATCTCTTGTTAACACTTAGCATGAAATAACCAAGCGTGGTTGTGCACACATTTTAAGGCTGTAAATACTATATAAAACAATAAAGGGTTATGGAGCACTCAATTATAATTGAATTTTCAAATTTAACAACTAAGAGTTGGAAGCATGAAGTTACAATTTTTTTGCATTCACAGATAGATTAACAATGGCTACTGATGAGAAACAAGAAAAAAAAAAGATTCCTTGGTTACATTACATTTAAGTTAAACACCCAGAAGGTGGTTACAAACCTGTAAATAATAATGCAATGAAACAAAGACTGTTTGATGTAGTATCCGATTTCCCTACATTGTGACTAACAAGTTATATTCAGACATGTTTAGTTGTGTTTCAAAAAACCACTCTTACAGATAAAAAAGAGATGAGATCAATGTTACTCAGATTCAGGTGTTTCTAGAATGGATATATATCCAACACAAGTATGTTAATTGCTCTTCAAGCTTTTCCATATATTCAAAGGGTCCTGGAGGGGTCATAGCCCCATATCCAAATTTTTATATGCACCAAACACGGGTTTTCAAGCAACAATTGAAAGATTAAGAATTGAAGCAACATAAATGAAATATCTAACAGTATAATCAGTTGTTTAGTTGAGAAATATTACATAAATGAAACAAACCTCAATATATCTAACAATATAATCAGTTGTTTTACTGAGAAGTTCTACGTAAGTGAAAACAAACCTCAATACCTCTATTCTCTGCAGCATCCATTCTACAAGTCATAATTGGAGATTGTTCAGCACTTTGTTTAGTTGTATCCTGAATCCTGGTCGACCAATTCAAAAGTGAACAATTAAGAAAGAGGTATCAAAGAAAATAAAACTCATTCTAATCGTTATACCTTTAGTAAGTTAAAAATGAAAGAAAATTATAAATATACATATGCGACTCATATTAATTGTTTTCATTGGTCATTTTCTTTTCTTTTTTTTCTTCACTTTTTACCTAGCACATCCAATATTCATTTTCTTTTCACTTTTTCATCCTCCTCTATTTCTACTATTTTACTTTTCACCCAACTAAGCAGATCTAAAACTCATCAAAATCAAGATAACAACATTCATACATAAAGCACATGCATTCATGCAAATTTTAGAGTATAAACCTGTAAAGAATTTCTGATACTATCAAGAGTCACAAGACACATAATGCGCATGTCAAATTTCCTACCTTTCAAGCATCTATAATCACGTGATCAAATATTCAAATTAGGAGAAGTATGCTTAATTTCAGTAAAGATATCCACTACATGTAATTTCATTTTACCGATTATCTTCGTCTGACGTATTCATTTTGCAATGTTCTTCACTTTCCAACTTTGAGAAGATGACCCTTCTATCCTGCCATGTAAATCAATAGCATCTTTGACAACAAAAGGCAAATGGGCAATAGATCAAGCTATTTAAAAGTTTAAATCTTTTTTCCTTTTTTGCAAGGAGAAAACATAAGTATTTCACACCATGTTATTCGGACTAGAGTGCGAGTGCCAGATAAAGGTATGTCCTATTTTTCATTTATTTGAAAGGAAATGAAGAATAAAAGCAACATAAAACCACACAAAGAACTGGAAGAAAAAAGCTGCTAGAAGGGTAAAGAGGATCAAAATGGTCTAGGTGTTGGCTATTGTCCAATCGGTTAGTTCACTTGAAGAATCCCAAAACCATGTCTTAAAGATTACAAGTTTAAAAAGGTAATTTTGATATTAGCTACCAAGAGAATTTTATGAAAACCACCAATACATATAATGCTCCTTCTAAGGTTATTACACAGAATGAAAAATCCTTAATCAAATCAGATAGATTTCATCACTAAAGTATTTCTTTAAAGGACTAGCTTATGAAGCTAGAAAGCTTCTTAAACAATTTCTTTTAAGACTTAAAAGTAAATCCCATTCCTTGTTTGAATTTTGAGAATGATATGTAAAGGCAAATTTGAGTCTCCTTACCTAGCTATGATGTTTGAAAGCTTCTTAAACAATTTCATTTAAGACATAAAAATAAATCCCATTCCTTGCTTGAATTTGAAAATGATATGTAAAAGCAAATTTAAGTCTCCTAACCTCTTCATTCATATGTGCAACAGCATGCTGAATTTTCTGTAATATATTTGCTAAACTTCTCACCTCAAAATGCAATGCCTGGTAACAAAAACATTTGGTGTAGTTTGGAACAAAACTACAGGGAAAAGGATGTCAAATGAAAAATCAACAGTTTGGAATGGGTACCTCTTTCTCAGACACTAGATTCCGTATGACAGTATCCTTTGCTGATATAGTTTTCTGAAGGTGTTATTGACTAAGGAAACACAATGATGAGAAATTTCTTTTGCTGAACTTGCAGTTTGTTCTTCTGAAATAAAAGTATGTTTCATTTATTGTGAACACATGGGTGGATATCTCTTCAATTTGTGCTCGGCTGCAATCACTGAGTTTTGCTGCCGCCAACTGTGTTTCTAACTCTGAAATTATTTTATTCTTTCTTTGAAACTCATATTCATCATTGTTCAGCCTATTTTCCAGGTCATTGATCTTCTCTACAAAAACAAAGTAAATCAAGTTCTAGTGGACAATAAAGAAAATGATGATTTTTGTTTGTAAACATATTTGACTTGTGTGGTGTATCAGAAATGAAGGGTTGTGAAAAGATATCATTTAAGAGAAAATGTCTAAGGAATTTGTAAACAATGCAACCTTCTCCCCACTTCCTTGGAAGTGGTCAACAAAGATATAATTGATCAATTAGTAGTGATACATCTATTAATGTAGTTTGAGTGTGTCAGAATCCAATACAGATGTACACTATTTTTTTCTTAGATTATGATACTTGAACTCGATAATGAGTGTTAGATACTGATACAAGTGAAACATAGGTATGTTCGATTTTTTTCCAAAATCTTCTCATGTATTTGGAGAGTTCTTGAAGAATAATTTCCAAAGACCAATGGCCAAAAATGCACCAGACTTGGGTACTTCAAAAAAATAAAAAATAAATTGAACAACATAGCTTAAAGTGTTTGATATGTGCTCAACACTATACTTCATAAAACATGAAAAGTCAAAGCAACATAAATTTTCATAGTCTAAACCAGGTAAATAAGAACTCGAAGTTACCAACAAATGATTTTTCAAATGCAAAGACTTGATCTATTTCTCTCCTTAATCCAGCAACTGAAAACACCAAATAAAACACTATTAGAGGAATGTAAATACTGCACATAACATCAATCACTTGAGCCTGTCACATGCACAAAATGGTGATAGACATGAAAAAGGTAATAGATTAAACGGTTACATGCCTACTTCCTCTTTTTCACTCACAATTCTTTCCAACTTATCCACAACCTGCTTGACAGAGAATGCCTCCTTTTCAATTGAATCAAATAGTGATAAATGAGAGTTCAATTTCTCAGATAGGACAGCAAGTTTTCTATCTCTAGCTTCAATTGAACGTTTCATTTCACATGTAGATTCCTGCACGTAAACATCAGGCCAATGAATGATAATAAGTTGAATATACTGTCATAAAATGATTCAAGTCTTCAGAACACGAGACTACATAAGAAAAACAATAGCTCAATCATTAAGCAGAAATAAACACAATAAGCTGATTTCTGAAATGAGTTATAGAATAAGCAAATAAGGCATTACAGAGTATCAATTCATCGACTTCTTTGATTTGCCTTGGTTTAACTCATGGAGCCAGGAGAGGGTAAGGGGGGCCATTGCCCTTAGCTTTTTCAAATCTGGAGCTTACCCTAAGTTCATCTTTTTTATTTGTTTCACAATGTTGAACTTGACGAGAAAAATAATAAACATGACACAACATGAAAATGAAATACAAGAAAAGCATATATATATATATATATATATATATATAACCTATATAAAATAAACTACTAACATGTCAAAAGTTATATAAGGTGCCTTAACACCTTTATGACACAAATGCAAGAACTGTCAGGTCTTGACACTCTTCAACTTTCTCCAGGTCCCTAATTCAGGTTTAACTTTTTCATTCTATTTACTCGATCTTTACCGCACTTCAAACAGATTTTTCCCATAGATATTAGATTATTTTACTTTTCACCAGATTTCTTTATATATTATCACATAAATTTCATTAATATGCACAACCTTTCATTTAATACATTGGCTTCTACATAGCATGGTGATTTCTAGTTTGTGCATTTCAATAACATGAAGCACATGTTAAAAAATACTTATCATTGTTACAACAATGAATTTTATCTATATATAGTTAAAATACTTAACACTATGAAATCAATCTGTTTTGTCAAAGAAATCCTAAATTCAAAAGCCAGCTGATTGGTGTAACTAAGACGAGCCAATCCCAAGTTGCAATAAGCTTGAAATAGAGCTTAACTCAAGGTCAATGGAGTTTCATTTTTAAAACTCAAACTTGGTTTAAAAAATATATCAACATGTTCAGTGCACTCCTTTATATAGTAAAAGAAAGCTCTAATCCTATACTCGAATTCAAACTCAACTATTTATATTCGAGCTTGAATTCAAGTTCAAATTGATGTTTTTCAATACTAAAAAAAACTCAACTAGGCTTACGAGATATTCATTGAAGTATTAAGATACCCGAATCTAACTCATTGAATTTGCACTGCTTGAGCTCAAGCCGACAATGCCCTAACCAATTTTTTTCCAAGCAAAACCTGAGTAATTACCAGACATATGCATCCCCTGCCTTCGACTCATCCATGAATTTTCTCGTTGCAGTTTAAATTTACTTCACACAAAAAAAAAGAATAAAGGAATTAACAAACACGCACCTGATATGCACTTATAAAGCTATCCCTGGACTGAAGTAGGCTCTGGATCGTTCCTTGTAACTCTTTTTTCTTGTTTTCAAGCAAAGCGTTATCGTTTTGAAGGTAACCCACCTGCAACAAAAGCAGTTATATTATCAACTTCTAATTAGCGAGCATGTAGACGAGGGCACGAAAGAGAAATTCATAGACCTTCCTTTCAAGCCTTTGCTGTGATTCGCTACATGAAGCTAACTCCGCTTGCAGTTCTTGTAACTTTCTATTGTATTCCTCTTCGGCTTGATTTTGTTTCTGCATCAAGAATCCGAAATTTTTTTCAAAATAGGAAAAAAGAGAAAAAAAAGAAAATGAAAAAATGGACATAACCTGGATTAAGGTATGAATTTGATTGGTTGCGGAACGATTCCTCTCCTGTTAAACAATGTTAATTAACTGAGTCAGAGAGAACGAGTGAAGCGCGATCGGCCATGGAGAACTGAGAAAATAAATGGTTACTCTGAGATCGCGAGATTCTGTGACGAGAGTTCGAAGCTGGAGGCTGAATTTGGACAACTTGAGCAATTCCATTTTCATTCCTAACTCTCCATTTAACTGCCCTTTATTGATCGAGATTGAAGCATGAAATGTCGCTGTTTCTACTCGCCCTAGAATTTCCCGCCATTTAACATTATTTAATAGGTCCAATTCTGATTTTAGTCCCTCTTTTATTCTACAATTTGATAGTTATTCGTTTTACTTTAATTTAACATATTTTGACCCTTTAATTTTTTTGACAATATTTTAATTTTATAATGTTATTAATATATTCAAATAGATAAAAGTATTTACTGTTAGCGTTAAACAATGACAAAGTATGTTTTGAAAATATAGTCTTAAGGCGCACATGTAAATTTATATCGTTCTATGTGATTGATTATATTTTTTTTATACGAGTAATATTGTGTGATTGAATAATAATCAACATAATCACTTTAATAAGGGACGGATTGACGTGAATTTAAGTGGAATCAATTTAGAAATTAAATTTTAGATGTGTATTAATTTTCTCATTAAACTTTTAAATTGTTCATACATTTTTGTTATCGTCGACTATCATTCATCGTCTATTATCGATTGTCTTTTATAGTAAAATCAATATCAAAATATTCATATTTTATTCATCTTTTCTCTCATAATATTAGTTTTTCACGAAATTCTCTCAAAATCGATGAAATTAAACATAAAAATCTACAATATTTTAGATGTTTAGAGGTTTTCTTAGATTTGTAGGATTTTAAGGTGTTTTGTTCAAAAATTTGAATGATGAGAAGCATTATTTTAAGAAGACAAATAGTATACCTTAAAATTAGCCTTACGATTTAACATTGAAAGTGTTAAACCTATATTTTGATATAATAAATAAGGGTAAAATATTTTTGGACTTAATTGAATTTGTTGAAATGATTCAAAATTCTACAAAACTAGAAAAATGTTTTTCCAAGTATTTTTTTACTTGATCTAGACCTTAAAGTAAGTTTAAAAACTCAAAATAAGTCAAAAATATTGAATTTTTGGAATAAGGTTCCGAAACTCTGAGGCAGAATGCTAAAATGATCAATTTTTTTATGGTTTTGAAACCTCTTGATTGGTTTCGAAACATCTTGACTGGTTTCGAAACCCACATGATTGGTTTCTAACCCCTGTTTGATTTTTAAATCCCCTGTTTCAATGATCACATTTTTTCAAGAGGGTTTCGAAACCTTCTCTAGTGGTCTCGAAACCACCATGTTGAAAAGCTAAAATTGAGAGAATTAAAGGCTTCCAAAGATTCTAAAAACATCCCAACGGTTAGAAACGGTCACAAGTTCATTCCATCATATAAAAATAACCTAATGGCACTTGAAAAGGGTTATTGCACCTATTCAAACTTAGAAATCAAGATAAAATAGTTTTCATTCTTATTTTATTCATTTTTCTCTTGTACATAAATGTATAGAACTTAATTATATATTTTTTGTTTTTATTTTTGTGAGCTTAATAATTGTAAACACCTGCTTAGAGAGATTTTCTTCTTTAGACAAGTTACCCTTTGTTGAAAGGAAGAATTGTTCTAGTTTAACCTTGAAAAACTATATAATTGTAAATGTCAAAAAAATAAAGAAAGAATAAACTAATGGATTTATTGAAAATCCTTAGGTGGCGTTTGGTTCGCTGGAATCCCTTGGAATTGATGGGAATTGGAATCCAATTCCATCACTTTCTTATGTTTGGTTCAAGTTTTCCAGGGGAATTGGAATCCCTCATGACTTCAACTTTCCATCAAATGAGGGAAAGTGGATTCCATCCAAGAATGGATGGAATTCAATTCCCTTGTTGAAGGGAATTGAGATTTGACCATACTACTCTCATCAATATGTTGGTAACTTATTTATATTTTGAATAAAAATATTTTTTTATTATTTCGGGTCGGGTTTCTAATTCATATATTCGGGTCGGGTCGTGTTTCTAATTCATATATTCGGGTCGGGTGAAACTTTATTTTGGTCGGGTCGGGTCGGTTTTTTTAAGTGCGATATTCGGGTCGGGTCGAGTTCGGGTTTAGGGTGAAAAATACCCGACCCGAAAATATATAATTTTACCTTATATATTTAGGAATAATTACAATAATACCCTCTATATATAATTTTTTTTTAATTAAGTCACTGTTTATATTGAATAAAAATATTTTTTTATTATTTTGGGTCGGGTCGGGTCGAATTTCTAATTCATATATTCGGGTCGGGTGAAACTTTATTTTGTTCGGGTCGGGTCGGGTTTTTTAAGTGTGATATTCGGGTCGAGTCGGTCGGGCTTTTTAAGTGTGATATTCGGGTCGGGTTTTTTTAAGTATGATATTCGGGTCGGGTCAGGTTCGTGTTTAGGGTGAAAAAAATGGACCTGACCTGTCACCCCCTAGACCCGGCCTATGCGTTTCGACTAAGTCTAGTGGATCACATTATGATTATTAAAAACATTTTCCGAAATCGTTATTCTATCAATATAAAATCACATTATAAATAACATGAAATTATAAACAAATTATACTATCAAAATCCAACTCATAAATATAGTACCAATAAATAATAATTTAATTTAAAACATGTCTTCAAATTCAAAATCACAATAAACCGAGTAGTACTAGCAAAAGAGTCATCATTATAAAATCCGATATTTAAAATAAGGTCCACGTCACCAAAATAAAGTCAACTTGCAAGATAAAAACATTACAATATGATTTACTTCAAGAGATATGTTGATCCTCCAAGTGCTCGAACCGATGTATCTAACCAACAGTATCTGAAAGGGGGAAAACATTTTCAAAAGGTGAGCTAGGCTCAGTGTGTCCCAACATTTCCATAAAATGTCAATAGGTACAAATCATAGTCCAGTAATCTCAAAAATTCGTAAAAGAGTTTAACTTTTGAAAATCATAGTTTAAACCCTTTTCTGGTACACCATCAGTAGTCCTCAAAATTATTTTCCATATAGCTTACTTTATGCACATAGCAAAAAGAAAGCCGACTTAAGGATAGGCTCTGAAGCTTGTATCCTTAAGCCCAAGTCAATAAGTCCATATAGCTTACCCAAAGCACACAGCAAAGGAAAGCCGACCTAATGAAACATCTTGGGGCCCTCAAGAGTCACATTAGGCCCATTTAGCTTGATCAGAGCTATTCCATCGTAATTCAATTCCAAAATTCAATTGCACCGTGACATAAATTCCATAAATCCAAAAACATGGTAATCATATACCATTTCAAAACAAAAATTAGATAGCAGCCATATTCCATAAATTGTCACATTAAATTGGTGCATCCATAAAACAATAACCAATGAATTCGGTGTACCACATATTAAAACCAATAAAACAGTTCAGTAATAAGTAGGGAACACACCTCGACAATAGGTTCAAATAGTAAATCTACTGATTGCTGGTTTCACCACGCTCTGCTACAGTTTTCGAACGCGTGAATAATGGCACACGTGGTTTAACTGATCTAGAAGAGCTGGGTCGAGTTGTCGAACGATCCGGAGAGTCTCTTGTACCTTCAAACAATAATAATCTATCAGTCCCAAATCCTATTTAATTGTTTAAAACTAGACTTCTTAAGTATATAAGCATTTTTCGGGTTTGACTATCAATTTGGGGTATTTCGAGACTGAATTTGGCAAAACTAATTGCGAAAACGGAATCAGGACGTCGAAAAATATAAAGTATGATTTTTCGAAAATTCAAATTCTTGGTCAAAGTCAAAGTCAACCACTTTGACCGTCGATTTGGAGTCCTTCAGGTTCGAATTTGACAAAACAGACAGCGGAAACGGATTTGGCACGTCAAAAACTATCAGGATAGGTATACTCGAAAAAGATTAACGGTCGTTTAATGCTCGGTCAAAGCCATTTTAAGTTTTGGTCAAAGAAAGTCAACGGTCAACGATCAACGATCAACGGTCAACGGTCGGGTCGGGTCAACGGTCGAGTCGGTTCGGGTCAACGGTCGGGTCAGACCGGTCAAACCGGTTCAGACCGGTCAAACCGGTTCGAACCAATTGAAACCGGTCAGAACCGGTTAAAAACCGGTTAAACCGGTTTCCAACAGCCACTCGCCCTGCGGTGGCGCATGAGGCGTCCTCCGGGGCCCTAAAAATCCCGGAAAAATTTCTAAAAATTATTTTGAGCGATTTCGAGATACTTACAATGATCGGTTCAAATTTTTGAACGGCGGAGAGCTCGATTTCAAATCGGCCGAATCTTTGACTGCACCACCTCCTCACGCGCCGCCGTCTACGGCGGACAAGGTTGACACCGGTGAACTCGGAACAGCACAAGGAACACGATGGTGCGGGAGGTGTCGTAAACGGAGCAACGATCAGCGGTGAATTTAAGATTTTCTCGGCGATAGAGCTAACAAAACCGTCGCTACTTTGACTGGAAATTCCCGACGTTTGGCCGCGTTTCGCTTCAATTAATTTGAAGGGTTTGTTCCTCGCTCGATGATGAACACAACGGTGGTTTCAAAACAACGATCAGAATTCGGACGGCGTTTGGATCGGACTTGAAAGTGGAGGTGTGAGAGGAAGAAAATTGAAGGAATAGCATTTGTGATTTCTGATTGTAAATCAGAAATCACGCTTAAATCATCAAGCCTACCGACAGTTTTAGGGGAAATTCAAGGCTTGGTCCCTGAATTTCCTTTACTTCAAAAATGGCATACAAGTTTCCATAAATTTTAATTTAGTCACTTAATTTCACCCATTTTCACAATTTACCTCCAATTTCAATTAATATTATTTTGTAAATATTCGGGTTGTTACAATTCTCCCCCTCTACAAGAAATTTCGTCCTCGAAATTTACCTTATGAGAATAGTTGAGGAAACTAAGCCTCCATTGACTCCAATGTCTCCCAAGTAGCTTCTGAGGGGCCTCGATTACTCCATTGAACTTTGACCATTGGAATTCGCCTATTCTGAAGAACTCGTTCATCTCTCTCTAAAATCTGAATTGGCTCCTCTTCATATGACAAATCCGGTCTCAGCTCTACTTCTTCAACCTGAATAATGTGACCTGGATCTGGACGGTATCTCCTCAACATTGATACATGAAAGACATCATGAATATGACTTAGCTCAGAAGGCAAC